CATCACCATTAAATACATCTACAAGATAACTGTGCTTCATTGATAAGGTGATATATCCAGGCTCTTGAGATACAGAAACGCGGGAGCTCTTAATAGCTCCGCCTGTGTAGAGATTAGAAGAGTAAGGGGCAGAAAAGTCAGCCGACTCATCCATATTAAACAGTAAGTCCAGGCCGATCTTGCACCTGATTCCAACTGCAGTTTTACAGTATAATATAGTAGTTTCTTTCTCTTTTTCCTTCATTTCTTCCCTCCTTTCTTTCTTCCTTCCTCCCTTTCTTTTCTATGTACTATATACTATTATATATGTATCACATATAAAATAACTTAAACATAGAATATCACAAGAATCCATAATGTATAATATTCACAACTATTTTTCTATGAAAGGAAAATGTACTGGAGATGGAAACTGTCTTCTTCATCCCAGGGCTTTGTGTTATTGTAGTCAAAGCTGCTAAGATCCCTATAGTGACAGCTATTCTATTTGCTGCGTATAAGCAATGGATAAGGATGAAAAATTCACTCAATGGGCCTGGGGGCACCTGAAGTTAAATGAAGGTTATTTCATTTGTCAGTATGAGACATGCCAACATTAGTTCCGCTCAGTTAGTTGTTTCAAGAGCTAGACATTAGCCTTGTCTTTGGTGAATCTTCCTGCTACTGTTTGCAAAACTAACTCTCCAAATATAGCAGATAGATTAATCAAATGTGCATAGATGCAATTTACTAATGGTAAGAATGAAAAGAGATGTAGACATTGAAATAATTCACCAGTGAAATACCAAGGCTTGGCGAATCTTACTTGCATCATTACCTTGCAAAATGTTGTCTGTAATTCACCTAAATGTTCAAATCAGTAACTATAGATCTTAATACATTTAACTATGATTCATTTAATCTGCTATTAAAAAATATGCTATATAAGTAGAAAATCTGATTGACTACCATTTATAAACATTATACTTTGCAAATAAAGAAAATCAAAGCTCAGAAAGATTATGAATTTGGTCAAACTAGGAAAAGTAAGGTGTAGAGCCCCCAAAAGTCAGTCAAGTTTTTAATTTCTATGGTAATATAGAGTTGATGAACTAGTCTAGAAAGCACCTACTTTAACTGAATTTCAAGTTAAAATAATGTTTAAAATTACAAAAACATAAAATTTTAATACATACATATTTTATAATGTTATATGTAGGACTTGCATGTCTCATATATACATATATACATATATATGATATGTGAGTAGCCTTGGGGGAAAATTTGTATGTAATAGAATTCAGTACTTTCAAATTAATTTTTGATTTAATTAATTTTAATTAATCTCTAGTCTCTTTGCACATTTTTTTCCTTAGGTGTTCAAAGAAAGAAATCAGTCTTTCTGAAAACATGTGGAAAACTCTCTAGTTGATGAGTTGTACCCTATTTCTCTCGCCTGCCAATGCAAGAGACACAGGAGATGTGAATCCGATCCCTGAGTCAGGAAGAGCCCCTGAAGGAGGAAACGGTAACCCACTCCAGTACTCCTGCCTGGAAAATTCCATGGGCAGAGGAGCCTGGTTGGCTACAGTCCATAGGGTCGCAGAGTTGGACATGAGTTAGTGCCTGAGCATGCACACCCTAGCTCTGTAACTTAAAAATCTAGCTTTACTCTCTTCTGTATTTGTCATCATAAATAAGAAATTCTTATTATGGGTTGAATTGTGCCCACCCTCCCCTCAGAAAGGTATTTTAGACTATGACCTTAATTGGAAATAAGGTTTTCAGAGATGCAATCAAGTTGAAATAAGGTAATTAGAGCAGGTCCTAATCCAACATGACCTAATCTGGTATGTCCTTAAAGGGGACATTCGGACATTGAAGCAGACACAGAAGATGATATAAAGACATAAAGGGGAATGACATGCAAAGACCGAGGTGATATATCAACAAAGAAAACTAAAGAAAGCTAAAGATTAAGCTAAGATTAAGTTTCAGAGGAATCATGGCTCTGCCAACACCTTCATTTTAGCTCCCAGCCTTCAGACTGTGAGTCATTACATTTCTGTGGTTTATGACTCCTGCTTGGTGGGACCTGTTAAGACAGCTGTAGGAAACTGACACATATCTCACTAAACTAATCAGAAGAAATTTAGTTTGCTTTTTCAAATGTCTTTATTTTAGTTGCCAGTTCCTTTTACACTGCAGAAACAACAATTAAATAATTTAATGCCTTGTATCATACCAGTTCACTCTAGTCTATTTTCAGATATTACCCTGGGAAAAAACAGCATAATATAAATGGTTCTTTTGTTTTTAAGAAGTAAGTAGAAAGTAAAAGCCCACTTAGCTAATAATTTCACTTTGTATACTGGAAGTATTTTAAGGATCACCACCAAATATTTGAATGGATATTTAAGTATAAATTCATATCAATTTGTCTCCAACAGACTATTTGGTTTAATGATACTGCTATCTATCCATAGCTGTAACTTGAGTTATCATTGTCTCTCTTCTTTTTATTTCATCTGTCATAGAACTTGCAAGTGATGATTTTTCCAAAATGCTTCTCTAAATCGTCATTTCTCTAAATGTGGCTGCTTTTTTGGTTGAAGATTTCAATGTGCCTTAATAGGCTCTAAACTGATCACTTTCCTCCAATTTTAACTGTCATGAAAAAACTGACAATTTGCTTTGTTCCAGTGATGGCAACTATCACATGAATCACAAAAACTATTATTGTTGATTCTATATTTTTATATGCTCTAGCTCACTTAATCAGGACAGGAACAACACTGCTTAGAAAGATTAAATAACAGGCTTAAGGTCAAACATAAAGTGGTAAAGCTGAAATTCTATTATACTTCAAAATATATAAACTTGTTACTGTATCATAAAAGCCTCTTCATATTGGCTATTAGGAAAAAAAATTATGTTGGTTGCCAGATAGATTTAGAATGTCCTAGTTTCTTTATGACTTTGTTTTTGATGATTTTTAAAAACCATTAGATGTTGTTATGTTCAGTAGCTCAGATGGTAAAGCATCTGACTGCAATGCAGGAGTCCCGGGTTTGATCCCCGGGTCGGGAAGATCCTGTGGAGAAGAAAATGGCAACCCACTCCAGAATCCTTGCCTGGAAAATCCCATGGACAGAAGAGCCTGGTGGGCTGTACAGTCCATGGGGTCACAAAGAGTCGGACAAGACTGAGCAAATAACACATGTTCAAATTATTAATAGACACAAGTAATCAAGGAAGAGCTTCTAAACGCCTTAGGGCCAATCCATCTTGCTTTTAATTCAGTGTTTTCATTTGACATAATTTTTGGTGAACAGGATGCATGTTAAAATTTCAGATACTTGATAAGGTATATGATGATGCAATTACAATTATAATTAAATATAAATAATCAATATAATTATAATATGTTTATAATACAACAATGGGCTTCCCTGGTGACTCAGCTGGTAAAGAATCTGCCTGCAATGAGGGAGACCTGGGTTTGATCCCTGGGTTGGGAAGATCCCCTGGAGAAGGGAACAGCTACCCACTACAGTATCCTGGCCTGGAGAATTCCATGGACTGTATAGTCCAGAGGGTCGCAAAGAGTTGGACATGACTGAACAACTTTCACTCACATCAATAATACAATCATATGTCAGAATGATTTTAATTACGTTTGAACTTGTATGTTAACTAGTTGTGTATAGACAATCAGTATACACAAACTTATACAAATTTTTTTGATTACAAAACTTCAGGTAATTTTAAAGTAGACAGGTTTCATTTTAACCTTTTAAAAAAAGTCTAACCTCTCTATTTTGAACTGTGGTGTTGGAGAAGGCTCTTGTTGGAGTCTCTTGGACTGCAAGGAGATCCAACCAGTCCATCTCAAAGGAAATCAGTTCTGAATATTCATTGGAAGGACTGATACTGAAGGTGAAACTCCAATACTTTGGCCACCTGATAAGAAGAACTGACTTATTTGAAAAGACCCTGATGCTGGGAAAGATTGAAGGCGGGAGGAGAAGGGAATGACAGAGGATGAGATGGTTGGATGGCATCACCGACTCGATGGACATGGGTTTGAGGAAGCTCTGGGAGCTGGTAATGGACAGGGAAGCTTGGCGTGTGCAGTCCATGGGGTCGCAGAGTCAGACATGACTGAGCAACTGAACTGATTGAACCTCTCTATTGTGAGAACGGCTGCAAAATTGTGTGTTAGAATGCTTCTGCAGATGCATCTGTGAATGACTATGTGCATGTTTGTATGTACATGTTGATAGACTTAGGATGAAAGACTGACAATCTAAAGGAACTTTTGGCTATCTAGGAAGATGAGCAGGATGACCATAGAATTTATTATTCACACAGAGAGAGCTTTGAGAGGTAAAGGATGTGGATGGCATCATTAACAAAGCTGCTGGACAAACATCATAATATGGTCCTTTTGCTGATAAATAGTGGCAGATGGTTCCCCCAAATATTCACAAAAAATGATACAGCAATAAGTTAAAGAAAAAGGGAAATGAGAAGAAAACTTAAAATATACTTCATACTGAGAAACGGCAAGGAATTATGTAGCAGCAACATCTTATCATTCACTCTACAGCTATTTAAGTATGTTATGAAACTGTATATGTATTTTCTTGAAAAATGTATCTCAAAACTGAGTACATCAAAATACTCTACCACTTTCTGATAAATCCACTTCTCCTAGAGAAGGGGTGATCCTGTTGATAGTCACCACTAAGTCAGACAAACAGCCTTTCAGTCCACCTTTGTACTTTGGTTTTTCAGGGTAGATACAAAATGAACCAGTCTTGTTTTACCTTTTTTTCTTATTCAAATAGTAGCACAATGGGAGGCTATTAGGAACTGCTGAACATCCTCGGCTTCAATTGTTTCATCTTCATCTTTGTATAACTGCGAGAATTTTAAATCCTTCCAAAAGTCAAGCCATTTAAAGAAGTACACACCAACATGACTTGTCCAATGGAAAGATAAAACTATATCCCTACCTTTCAAGCGAGGGCTGTGCACGTGCATTCTTTGCAGATGCAGATTTATTGGGACAAATTCTAATGTTTTTTCTCCTTTGCTGCTGCTTGATTTGAAAGAGGACCCTAGGTGGAAAAAATTGAATATCATCAGTAAATAGGTATGTGCATGTGCGTGTGAGTGCACAAACAGACGTTGAAAAGTCCATCTGACATAAAAGTTCAGAAGAAAAATATTTCCTGCATGAGCTGCTTTTTTTCCCTCAGAAATTTAATTTCAAAAATTCTGTTACCCATGAATGATGCCATGAGGGAAAAAAGTACAATTTTTTCTTCTTTGCTTTTCATGCCAAGATGGTAGAGTTGAAAATTGAAAAAAAAAAAAATTGGCTTTTCTACGTTCATAATACTACTTATGATTGCTTTCACATAACATACATGAAACTCAATTCACTTTGAATATGTGAAGTCATTGATTTCACACCTGTTTCCTTGCTGAGTTCTGTCAGAATGTCTTGGTACATATTCAGCATTTGATCACAGTGAGTAAGGACGTTTTTTCGTAGATTGTCCCAGTGTGGAGAAAGCTCACCAAGTTCTTTTAGCTCCTGGTTTCTGTTAAGTGTGGAAAAGAAGAGAAAACATTGATTGTTATCTTAAATCCATCCATACAAAATGCTTTGTCAGGGTTGCCAAACTAATTGACTGACCATCCCTTTCAGGAAAACTTTGTGCTTATTAGGAAAAAATCATTTTAACACAAAGGAAGATATGAATCATTTAGCTCACACAAAAATTAAAAGTCCTGTATGCTCAGTCACTCAGTCGTGTCTGACTCTTTGCGACCCTACGGACCACAGCCCACCAGGCTCCTCTGTCCATTGGATTTTCCAGGCAAGAATACTGGAGTGGGTTGTCATGCCCTCCTCCAGGGGATCTTCCTGACCTGGGGATTGAACCTGCGTCTCCTGCGTTGCAGGTGGGTCTTTACCACTGAGTCACCAGGGAAGCCCACGGTTCTATATATCAAGAAACAAAGTATATTTAATTTATTGACAAAAATTTCACAAAGATGACAAAGACTTACTACCCTTAATATATAGAGAGGCCATTCAGTTTTTTTTTTTTTAAATCATACTAAATCTCAATAGAAAAATAACTAAATTCTAGGCTTTGGCTATTCAAACTGAAATTTTCTGGAATGAGCTATCTAACCATGTCTGAAGCTATTCAGATAATCTAGTTTATGTATAATATAGCTATAATTCTTTTAAAGCCCATAAATAGTATGATCAAGTATGATTTTATTGGTCTTAATTTCTGCCAAGGACAATTTAAGTAAATACTATATGCCTATATTTTGTCCCATCTTTATCAAAAGACCTAATCAAGTCATATAGGTTTTAATTATTAACTTTTATCTAATTCTCTACCCTTTAGCCAAGTTAATTTAAATCATCAGAATGCCTTTTTAAATTATAATGATAAATGATTTAATATGCTGCTTGGTTAGATTTCTTATTCATTTCTGTAACCTTTTACCAACAACATTTTCATGAGGCTAATTTAACCAGCAATAATGAACCGTCTTTGCTATTTTGGCTGTGAAACCTGCTAAATACCAAGCTAATAAATTCAGAAGATGTAGAATCTTTAACATCCTGTTAAATGCAAGAATAATGGATGGTGTGCAAAAATGTGACTTGCTTTCAAATTCTTGTAGCTGCTTTTGCTTTGTTTCAACAGGAATGCAATACAGTATTGCTGCATCTTCCACCTGAGGTCTTTATGAACATTAATCTCAGTCTCAACTTTTCCATAGATTAGCTTTCATCACACAACATTCACAGAGGTAATCAATCAATGGACAATTAGAGTAAAGGAAGTTCATGGCAGAAGGGGGATTAGGAGGGAAGGTTGAAGAATTAGAGAGTCAAATCCTCTGTGTGGACTCAGAAGACAGGGTGTTCAAATTCAGGACAAAGTAGCAACAACCAAAACAAACACATAATTTAAAAAGCTGAAGATATCCAAGTCTAGAAGAACTCGGGTGCTTAGGTCAAATCTGAGGTACATAGCAAATGTGATACATCAGCTTACTAGGTAAGATTTTGAGCTTTATTTTCAATATATGGTTATAATAGAAATATTAACTTAGTATTCCTGTTTAATACTAATAAATGTACCAAGGGTTTACAATGTATGTTGTCCCTGAATCTCTATCAGAAATAATAACTATAAGGGGGAGTGGTGAGAAAGGGAAGCGGTGATTGTAAAGTCCCTGACTATGGCGTGGAATACTACAATGGAATATACCTCCCTGCCTAAGACAAATCTGACAAAGTGTGGTCTGAAAAGCTTAGTGTTCTATAGGGAGTGACTTAGGGAAGCAGGGAGGAAATCTGTAAACTGATATTTAAAACATATTATATTACTCCAGTATGTCAAAACTTATATACAGGAATACATAGATGAAACCTGACATTCACTGCATGTTTCTCCCAAGAAAACATTCAATAGATATACATCCTGAAAGTGACAACCAACCAGTGTAAGGTTTCTCTGCATTAAAAAAAAAAAAAAAAAAAGTTCAAATGTAAGAGAACTATAGAATAAAGGTGTAAAAAACCAGAGCAATGAAAAATGCATAAAACAAAATGGGGCAGAGGAAAAAAGTCACTGTAAATTTTTTAAAAAAGAGAAAATTACATTGCTTGCTAAGTCACTTTAGTTGTGTTCGACTCTTGGCGACCCTATGGACTGTAGCCCACCAAGCTCCTTTGTCCATGGGATTCTCCAGGCAAGAATACTGGAGTGGGCTGCCATGTCCTCCTCCAGGGGATCTTTTTGACACAGGGACTGAACCCATGTCTCTTACATCTCCAGAATTGGCAGGTGGGCTCTTTGTCACTAGTACTATAAAAAAAATTACATTAATACATTAAAATAGTGAAGATAATTGGGTGCACCAAAATCAGCAAGCTTTTCAATCAGGAAGGCTAGGGTTGTTTGTACCATAGTTTAATTTTGAATTGGTAAGTAAAAACTTTTGAGTTTAAGAGCCTTGCTTTCTCAAAGGCAGGGCCTGAGATCAAACAATCCCAGGACAGCCAGAGGGAGGAAAAAAGAGAAGGGTTGAAGGAAAAAGCAAAAGCAGACATAAGGTGGTCTGTTAATGAGCTGGGAAGAACTTCACAAGAAAACAAAGCTGGTTACTTAACCACATGGAACAACTCCAGAGAAGTCATAATGAAATTTCTCCTCTTTGGAAAGATTATCTAGGTGGAGGAAAAGTCGTTTATTTATACCAGTTCCTTACCATCTTTAGTTCACTGATAAAGACCTCCATGGGGCCTTAACTCCTTCATACCTCCAGTAGTATAATCTGTCTCCTCTAGGCAGCAACTGGGGAGTAATATCCCAGTGGAGACAGAACTTTCCTGGGTCTGGTCTGGAAAGCCATACAGATTCACTCTGGATATTTCCATGGCAGATATTGGGGTCACGACAATGGCTGGTCTTCACCTTAAGGGAGACTGATAAACTGATGGAATTAGGAGATGAGGAGACAGTGGTGGCACTAGCTGTGGCTCTCAATTGAGCAAGTGGTCAAAAGCTGAAGACATGTTGGGGGTGAGTAGGCATCAGTTCAGTTCAGTCGCTCAGTCGTGTCCGACTCTTTGAGACCCCATGAATCGCAGCACGCCGGGCCTCCCTGTCCATCACAAACTCCCGGAGTCCACTCAAACTCATGCCCATAGAGTCGGTAATGCCATCCAGCCATCTCATCCTCTATCATCCCCTTCTCCTCCTGCCCCCAATCCCTCCCAGCATCAGCAGGGTCTTATCCAATGAGTCAACTCTTCACGCGAGGTGGCCAAAGTATTGGAGTTTCAGCTTCAACATCAGTCCTTCCAATGAACACCCAGGACTTATCTCCTTCAGGATGGACTGATTGGATCTCCTTGCAGTCCAAGGGACTCTCAAGAGTCTTCTCCAACACCACAGCTCAAAAGCATCAATTTTTCGGCACTCAGCTTTCTTCACAGTCCAACTCTCACATCCATACATGACCACTGGAAAAACCATAGCCTTGATCAGACGGACCTTTGTTGGCAAAGTAATGTCTCTGCTTTTTAATATGCTATCTAGGTTGGCCATAACTTTCCTTCCAAGGAGTAAGTGTCTTTTAATTTCATGGCTGCAATCACCATCTGCAGTGATTTTGGAGCCCCAAAAAATAAAGTCTGACACTGTTTCCACTGTCTCCCCATCTATTTCCCATGAGGTGATGGTACCAGATGCCGTGATCTTAGTTTTCTGAATGTTGAGCTTTAAGTCAGCTTTTTCACTCTCCTCTTTCACTTTCATCAAGAGGCTTTTTAGTTCATCTTTACTTTCTGCCATAAGGGTGGTGTCATCTGCATATCTGAGGTTATTGATATTTCTCCCAGCAATCTTAATTCCAGCTTGTGCTTCTTCCAGCCCAGCGTTTCTCATCATGTACTCTGCATAGAAGCTAAATAAGCAGGGTGACAATATACAGCCTTGACATACTCCTTTTCCTCTTTGGAACCAGTCTGTTGGTCCATGTCCAGTTCTAACTGTTGCTTCCTGACCTGCATACAGGTTTCTCAAGAGGCAGGTCAGGTGGTCTGGTATTCTCATCTCCTTCAGAATTTTCCACAGCTTATTGTGATCCACACAGTCGAAGGTTTTGGCATAGTCAATAAAGCAGAAATAGATGTTTTTCTGGAACTCTCTTGCTTTTTTGATGATCCAGCGGATATTGGCAATTTGATCTCTGGTTCTTCTGCCTTTTCTAAAATCAGCTTGAACATCTGGAAGTTCTCAGTTCACATATTGCTGAAGCCTGGCTTGGAGAATTTTGAGCATTACTTTACTAGCGTGTGAGATGAGTGCAATTGTGCAGTAGTTTGAACATTCTTTGGGATTGCCTTTCTTGGGGATTGGAATGAAAACGGACCTTTTCCAATCCTGTGGCCACTGCTGAGTTTTCCAAATTTGCTGGCATATTGAGTGCAGCACTTTCACAGCATCATCTTTCAGGATTTGAAGTAGCTCAACTGGAATTCCATCACATCCACTAGCTTTGTTCGTAGTCATGCTTTCTAAGGCCCACTTGACTTCACATTCCAGGATGTCTGGCTCTACATGAGTGATCACACCATTGTGATTATTTGGGTTGTGAAGATCTTTTCTGTACAGTTCTTCTGTGTATTCTTGCCACCTCTTCTTAATATCTTCTGCTTCTGTTATGTCCATACCATTTCTGTCCTTTATTGAGCCCATTTTTGCATGAAATGTTCCCTTGGTATCTCTAATTTTCTTGAAGAGATCTCTTGTCTTTCCCATTCTGTTGTTTTCCTCTATTTCTTTGCACTGATCACTGAGGAAGGCTTTCTTATCTCTCCTGGCTATTCTTTGGAACTCTGCATTCAAATGGGAATATCTTTCCTTTTCTCCTTTGCTTTTTGCTTCTCTTCTTTTCACAGCTATTTGTAAGGCCTCCTCAGACAACCACTTTGCCTTTTTGCATTTCTTTTCCATGGGGATGGTCTTGATCCCTGTCTCTTGTAGAATGTCACGAACCT